GAGTTGACTGGTTTAGTTAATTTCTTAAAGCGAAATGGACGTCTTTCGGGATTTGAATTGTCGGTCTTAAGATTAATGGCAAATATTAGCAAGCAAGGGAGCATAATAAAACAAAGAGGGAGAGAGATTTGAGCCAAAATCTGATTTTCCTGTCCGCCTGGACCAGTATTTGGGCCTGATTTTTGTTTTGGGACCAAAGGCCCAATATTCAGTACCTGTCCTAAACTAACCTTTGAAATTTGCTTTTCTTTGGGCCTTTGGCCCAATTTTTGTCTCCTTGTACCTGTCTTATTCTAGCATAATAGAAGTATTTTCTATCTTTTGGACCTTAGACCCAATTCTTCCACCTGTTCTAAACTAACACAATAATAGCAATTAAAAGGACAAGGGCTTAGGCCCAAAATAACAAAATACATTTTTTTATAAAGATTAGGTCTTTGGCCCAATCTTTTCAATCTTCCGATCTATTTCATATTCTTTCAGCTCCGGGACCTGTACGTCGATTTTTACAGCTGGATGACTCGGGAAGAGGAATTTGAGTCTTTACGACTCTCTCGAAAATGCAAAGGAAAGGAACGAATTCGTGTGAACACCGACGGATTTTACATGCAAGCAAAATAGTATAAGGAGTGTGAAAAATATCATACAGCAAACAAATAAGACATCCATAAACTATACTTTATGCACCATTGTTTAAAGAAAATCAAGGATCCCTGTCAGATTAATTTTATGCGCTATTGTTTAAAGAAAAAGAAGCCGCAATGTTTGACTTGGAAAGAAACCCATTTGACTTATCATGGAGGCAACGTATTCTCTACTTGAAATGATTGTAAACTAAATGACATAAATGAGATTTTGTGATAATTGACTAACACAACAACATGCTAAAAATAAAATAAAATTCTAAACACACAAAACATCAAACCGTTAACAGCTACTAAACTATTAAAATTAACCTTGCACTAAAAAAACATGTTATGCACACAATAGCCAAAACTAAATAAACACCTGCTTCAAATAATCTAATTTTTTTAAAAAAATATTAACAAGACTAAAACATGAGGATAAAACAAGAAAATCAAGCTCTGTACCGATTCAGACTTGCAAAGAGTAAACTATTTGAATATCAATTATTAAACCAAAGAGGGGTGAGCATATTGCCTCCTGATAGTATGAAAAACAAACTCCAAAGCGATCATGAAGAGGGAAAACAAAACAGCCCAAGCACCATTCTTGAAAATAACTTAAATACATACATTAACCTCATTTTCAGCATGCTTCAAGGTTAAGACCATAAGGACAGATGAGCAAAGTTTGGTATGATATTACCTAATTTTTATTTTTATTTTTTATTTTTTTATTTTTTTTAAAAAGGAGAACAAAGAAGACCGATGCCGAACGAATAATACATTAACTTGAATAAACGACTCAATGTTGATAGACAACAAATAAAATGACACACCAACTTCATATTACAACACTTCGGGAGGCGAAAAGAATGAACCATAGGCATCACACTTGATAAAAAGAACGGGAAAGATAGCACATTATGCAATCTGGAAAAGGGAAAGGGACAAAACTTTTTAGAAATAGACTTGGCCAACACAAACCGAATAAATATAAAAATTAGAAATGAGTCAGCAAACAACACAACCCAATATTCAAAACAATAGCAAATGCAAGACATAACTCATAATGTTGACATCTTGGTTCATTCTTTCAACTTGAGGTGAAAGAGTGAAACCCATGGTGTCGAATATTAAGCAGCAAAACACATTCAATGACATTCGAGAAACAAGCTTAAGGAAAGAAATCAACAAGACAAAGTTTCAAGTACAACAATAGAGAAGTAATAACGAATATCCAAAGTTTTTACTTGATATGGCAAATAACTCGATGAAGCGGCTAGATGTATGTACATAACATATCAACTTAATAGCAACTAACAGCCTAATACCAACCAAACTAAAAGCAAGCCTCAATCAACAGAATGTCACTCTGAAATAGAAAGAAGAGGTGGAAAAGACATTGTGAAGAAGAAGATATTACATTTCTATGGGCAGCGACTGGGAACGAGACGAACCTGAAGACGACTTCACCACTAACGTCAAACTCCCGGAGTTCCTACGAACACTAGCGACCACGAACAAGGAAAACAGGGAAAATATCAAAGGTGTATTTCTTTTGTATCTTGGACTTCTAAAATGTTTTCCTCTATAAATTCTTACTAATTTTTCCAATATTTCTTTCAAAATTTCCTCTCTAAAGCTGACCTAATTTCCCAACCCTTTTTCCAACTTTTTTCTTTCCCTCCCACAATAAGGAAGGAGGGAGTATATCTAAACGATCCTAGGGTTCCCATTTCGAATTTCAAACTCCAAAATCTTTCACTGATTAAGGAAGACCAACTTTTCTCCAAATTTCGCCCAATTCCGAAAGAGGAAAGGGCGAATCGACGTCTCAGATTGCTCCAATGTCCTTGAACCCTTGCGCGGTTGCGTCTTCTGGATGCAAGGACAAAAATTGCAGCAGCTCAGGAATGGAACAGCGCTGCTGTTCGTCTGCTCTGACGAAGGCGGAAGACGCGGAAAAGCAGCTTCCTTTCTGTCTACTGACGCCGTTTGGTATTGTTACAGTTGTCGTTCGACCTGGTGTGAGGGAGTCGTGAACTCACGCTCGAAATCGTGAGTTACTGCTGTTTCGTGTATTCGCGTGAGAGAAAAAAAGTGAGGCGCGTAAGGGTGGGTCGTTTTAGTATGCTGTTGTAATCGATGTATGTATTGTGAACGTTCTGGGCCTTTTGTGAAGGGGAAAATGGGAGTGGGCCGGGTCACTGGATTGGGGCTGCTGAAATTTGTTTTGGTATTGGGCTGGAAACATTGTTGTTGCTGGAAATGTTAGAGAAAAGGCCTAAAATTTGGCTTTTTGATGAGTTTAAGATGAATTGACTAGGCTTGGCTAAATTTGTAGTTAAATAATAGCCCTAAATAAATTTTAATGTTAACCAAATCGAATTTCAATCGATGAATTGGTCAAAACTTAAACAAGACGAATTAATATTAATTAATTAATGAGCTTCTTATTTTTTAACAAAATAAAATAATTAACTTAAGTATAAACTAATTAACTCAAATATATAAGTAGTATTAACTAAACCAATTAACCAAAAAAAACTAACATCTTTTTTTTTTTTAGATGATTTCAAATATTTATAAAATATATACTAATTATATACAAAATTATATAAAACATATACATTACTTAAAAATTATAAAAAGCGACTAAAATTACTTTAAAAATAACTTGAAAAAAATATTTTGAATTTTATAGAGTCAATTATTTCAACTCATTTAGAATTTAAGAAGCTCGATGATTAATTTACATTGTGGGGTCCAAAATTGGGTGTCAACAAATGTCTCTCATTTTACTTGAATTGATGAAAGAAATCCGAGGAAAATGAAATTGACTAATCCAATTTTGATCGACCACATCTCCATCTTTTGGGAAAGGGAATTGGTACGGACTTTAGGAATTATGGCCGAACCCCGGAAGTGGGTTTCCTACTTATCTCAGGCTATATGAGAATTCAGGTCAGTTGTAGTTCGATACCTTGATTTAACACATGATTCTGAAAGAATTCACAAGACATCCTGAGACCGAATTATGAAAGGATCGGAATGCTCAAAAAATAAGATTTAAGAGCGAATGTTGGAATACAAGCGAGTTTTCACATTGAGCCCGCCTA